GTGGTTGTTCCAGCTTGCGGGACTGGCCTAAGGGATTTTAAAGGGGTTTTATTTATTTTTAAATTTGACGAGTTTAAATATTTCTTTTTAATCAATTTTAATAGGTGTATAATGTGTGTGTTTTTATCTGATTGTTAGCCGCCCTGAGTCCGTAAGGAGAAGGGCGGGATATAAATGTAATTAATAAATAAAATAAATAAATAAATAAATAAAACTTTTTTCCTTGGCAGGGGTGGAGGTGGAAAACGGACAGTTTAAAAAAATACTTAACTTTGCTCCTGAAAATGCAAAATGAGGAAGCAAAGATTTGCCCAGTATTTTCAGACATTAGATATTTTTAAAGAATGCAGTGGTCTATTAAGCTTTGCAAGGATTAAAGAACCCCAACCCTCCCGAAATGCCCCTCCCAAATCCCAATATTTTAATTTTCCTCACAAAGAAAGGCCCTGTGTATTGGAGGGTTAGACTTTTTGCGATCCTGTTTTATAGTATTTCCCTGTTGGTCTTCTCTTGACTGTGACTGCCACAGTCAGAGTTTTGAAATGCATTTTGAATTGATAGGCTATCCTATCTCTAGCAAATAACCATCTTCAAGAAAAATCCAGCATAATAATAAAATAATAATAATAACAACAACAACAACAATAAATAATAATAATAATAATAGTAATAGTAATAGTAGTAATAATAATAATAATAATAATAATAATAATAATAATAATAATGATAATAATAATAATAATAATAATAATAATAATAATAATAATAATAATAAATAGAAAGAAGATCGCACAGACTGACTACAAGCGATGGCATGACAAAGTAGCAACAATGGTGCACTGGAAGATCTGCAAGAAATATCATTTGCCTGTAAGCAAGAACTGGTGGGATCATAAAATAGAGAAAGAAAATGATAAAATAATAAAATTAAACTGCTCCGGAACTTCAGAATTCAAACAGACAAGCACCTGCAACATAACACCCTGGACTTAACAGTTGTCAATAAGAAAGACAAAAAAGTCTGGATAGTGGACGTGGCAGTGCCTGGAGACAGCAGAATAGACAAGAAAGAACTGGAGAAGATAACAAAATACAAAGACCTACAAATAGAAATAGAAAGACTGTGGCAAGAACAAGCAAGGATAGTACCAATAGTAATAGGCGCCTTGGGTGCAATCCCAAAACAACTGGAGCACCACTTGAACACCATTGGCATTGACAAATTTGCCATTAGTCAATTGCAAAAGGCAGCCTTACTAGGAACTGCTTCCATCCTGCGACGATATCTGTAATACCATCAAACATCCACATCTGCCTATCCCAGGTCCTTGGTAAGGACTCGATAGGTAGACAAAAATGCCAAATCCAGTCTGAACATCTGGCTGACTGTGCGATGATCAATAATAATTATAATAAATAATTAAAAACAGTGCAGTTTTGGCATAAAGAAGAATGGTATTGAGTTGGCTTGATGGAATTTCCATCTAGGGCATCTTTAGAAATCAACTGCTGGATTTTTCTTGAAGATAGCTATTTAGCTATCATTGACTGCACTATTTAGCTATCATTGACTGATTTTCCTTCCTTTAGAAAATGTCATCCGAGAAAACCAATGGGGAGGTGCAGACATCCGGCGTGGGGGGGATCCTGTCCTCAGGAGTAACCTGATCTGCTGTGGCTATTCAGATGGAGTGGTTATCGGAGAACGAGGAAAAGGACTTGTAGAAGGAAACACCATTTATGGTAAGCCTGTTCTAAATCTCCTTTTCAAATGAAATCTGGGGTGTATTTGGAAAATACAGGGTTGTTGGGTTTTTTTAAGTGACCTGGAACCATTTTAAGACTCTCAGTGTAATTAGAATCTGGCCTGAGTAGCTGTTGATTCTCTTGCAGAACATGAACATCCAAAAGAAAGACATTTTTAGAGTGTCTAAATTGTATGATATCTTGTGAATTTGGCACATGGGGTCACTTAGGTTATCTTATTCTTCTGTTGTTTGTGGTGGAGATCATTGTCTGGTGTTTGGCACAAAAGCAGGTCGAACTCATGCCTTTTTTTCCCATGGAGATTCCTCTTCCACATCTGCAGGATTTCTGTGGCTGGTATAGTGTTCAAGCCTATTGATAGGTCAAAATAGGACAAAGACCTCTGGTTTTTGATACCTGAATCCAGTTTTAGAAATGGATGTCTTCCATTCCTGAACCTTGGCTTTCCATTGCTAGGAGCTGCAGGAGACTTGAGCTCTTCCTGGGAATGATGGCGATCCCAAGCAAAGGCAAAAGCCAACTTCCTTGTATCTACACCAAGTACCACTAAATCAAGGGTCTTTCAACCTCCCAAGTCAGTGATCAAAGCTGATGGCCTAAATATTTGACTCTTCTTGATTTGGACCTTGAAGTCTTCTCTAGTATATAGCAATGCCAATAGCACTTAGACTTACATACTGCTTCACAGTGGTTTGCAGCCCTCTCTAAGTGGTTTACAGAGTTAGCATATTGTCCCCAACAATCCGTGTCCTCATTTTACTGACCTCGGAAGGATGAAAAGCTGAGTCAACCTTGAGCTGGTGGGAATCGACCTGCCGGCAGCCAGCAGTCAGCAGAAGTAGCCTGCAGTACGGCTCATGGTTATAGCCTTGGACCAAAGTGCTTCTCGGTTCTGGCGCCAAAGCTCTGTCATAATTTGACAAATGTACATGCTTCTCTTGTAGGTAATAAGGGCTGTGGTGTCTGGATAATGTCATCCAGCCTTCCCCATGTTACCAACAATCAAATAGGGCACAACAGCATCTATGGCATTGCAGTGTTTTGCCGCAAGGACGATGCTAACGATTATCTTGTCAACCAAGGAGGCAATGAGAATTTCAATGAAGAAGGAGAAGCAGCCAATTGGGAGAATGACCTGGAAAGTGAAGATGAACGCTTGACTTCCCGGCGGCCCATCAACGTGGCCCTTGTGGAGTCAAACAACATCAACCATAATGGAGGTGAGTCCTAGCAAAATTGGATGACCAGCTTAATATGAAGGAAAGCTTAAAGGGGCCACCCCTTAATAATGTGTGCAAAGTCCCTGCAGAAACACAGTAATGTAGAGAGATGTCTTAATTCTTTACAGAACATGTTAGCTATCCTGCTACATGATATTGGCACAGATACTGTAAACTACATGCTAGTTTCTAGCATGTAGTTCTAGTTTACTCCTTTTGATCCAGTTTTAGTCTCTGGATAGTAAATAATTTAAAGTTATCATTTTACTTTCAATACTAGATGAAGTTGGGAAAGATCCCATTTTAAGTTTCATTGACTGACTTTATACAGGTAGTTCTCGACTTATGGCCACAATTGAGCCCAAAATTTCATTTGCTAAGTAAGACATTCGTTAAGTGAGTTTTGCCCCATGTTAATGATGTTTCTTGTCACTGCAGTGAAGCATTGCAGTTGATAAGTTAGTAACCCAGTTGTTAAGTGAATCTGGCTTCCCCATTGACTTTGCTTGTCAGAAGGTCGCAAAAGGTGATCACACGACCCCGGGACACTGCAATGGTAATAACTTTGAACCAGTTGCCAAGCATCTGTATTTTGATCACATGGTCGTGGGGATGCTGCAAACGTTGTAACTATGAAAAAGAGTCATAAGTCATATTTTTCAGTGTCGTAACTTTGAACTGTCACTAAATGAATGGTTGTAAGTCGAGGACTACCTGTATAAGCATTTGAGTTGCCGCCTGAAATTGTGTGAATGTGTGTGTATATGGCATGCCAAAGAGAAGATTGCACTGCTTGACTTTTCAGTGAACCTCAACTGGGGATGTGCCATTTTAACTGCTGAAATGTGTGAATTGTAGATGAAGCAGAGAATTAAGCTGTAGACTGTGATGCTGATCCTACAGAATACAGTAGGCATGAGGATAATATTCACGATGATGGCAAAGTCTAGTCTTGGTTTTATGGGGTTCATTGTTGTGCCTGTACCTTGCTGCCCTATTACTGCCCCCAAATTACACTCAATAGCTGCCTGAAATTCCTTTATCCCTCAGTGATCTCACTCCCGGCGATACACAGCTATGGTTATCTTTTGCCATTTGGTATATTTGCAATAGCTCCATTGAACAAAGGCCAACCATCTATTTTAAATGTAGATATCAACGAGGGAACCTATTTAGATCGCACGCCGAAGTCTATTTTGTCTTTCTCTCCTCATCTTGTTTTTGTTAAGAGAATCGATTCCCCCTCTATATCCTCTTCTTCTTTTTTTTCATAGCTGCTGGCTTATACGTCAAAAGCAGCGAAGCTCTGAATATCATTGGAAATGCCATCCACGCCAACCATGACTACGGGGTTGCCGTGTTTCAAAGCTTGCAACTCACCCGAATAGCAAATAACAGCATTTCTTGCAATAGCCTCGGCGGAGTCTTGGTGGAAGCCGAGTGCCGGGTGGAACTCCGTGGCAATGGGATCTATGACAACAGCAGCCATGGCGTTAGCTCCAAGGGCGATGGGGTCATCATGGAGAATGACGTTCTAGGAAATCAAGGATGTGGCCTCCGACTCTTGCAGGCAGCCGACATGAAGGTGGGTGCTTGAAAAAAAAGAACAGGCCGATTAGCATAATTGGTAAAAGGGATGCTCTCATTGTGAAGTTGGCAAGATTAAGATGGGTGAACTGACTCAAAGTCCCTCCATGAATTTCCCAGCTACAGTAGATTGGCACCATGTCTCTGAATGTTGCAATGCTCCACTGGGTAATTTCAGTGAGAAGCCTGAGGATCATTTGACGCTGCTACTTGGAGTTTGGCCAGGATCCATCGTTTTCCCAAGAGAAGATGCCAACAAGTAAACATTTTGGATCATTCCTTGGAGGGTTCTTCTGCTTTAGGGAGAAATTTATTATAGAACATTAATGCTACGCTGGCGCCAAGACGTGATAGGTACAAAGGAGACAAAACCAGGGTTGGATTCGGTGTTCACTAAGTTGGGTGAATCCTTCCACCACATGCGTTGGTAATCCAATGTTGCAGCCTTCCCATTTCCAGGGCTGCAGTGTAGTTTCATAGCCCCAAAGGTGCTTTTTCAAAAGGCAACTGGATTTCCTTTGGGCTTTTTTTTTCTTCTTGAAGACATTTCGCTTCTCATCCAAGACGCTTCTTCAGTTCAGAACTGAAGAAGCTTCTTGGATGAGAAGCGAAATGTCTTCAAGAAAAAAAAAGCCCAAAGGAAATCCAGTTGCCTTTTGAAAAAGAACCTGTGGGACAACCATGATCTGGATGACTAAGAATATCCATAGATGTGTAGTTTCATAGCCTTTTCTTCTATGGCTCTTTTATGACTCGTGGACTTCAACTCCCAGAATTCCTGAGCCAGCCATGCTGGCTCAGGAATTCTGGGAGTTGAAGTCCACGAGTCATAAAAGAGCCAAGGTTGCCTACCCCGTCCTAGTAGATAGAAGAACTGCATCAATGTAACCTTGCTGATACAGCTTCCCCTCATTTAGTGGAAGGAAATGCAAAACTAGCATAAACCCTAAAATACTTAAAGAACAATTCTCCCTCCCTGTCATTAAAAATCAAAGAATGCCCCCCCCCCCCATGGAAGGGTGTGTTAATGTTTATCTAGATGACTTGCTTGGCATCATACCACTCTCTCTGTATCCAGAATTCAGTGGAGCCATCAAACATTGCCCTCTAGGAAGCATACTTGATTGGGGATTCAAAGAACCAGGAACTGTCGGCATGCATGCAGTAACCAATATGACAGATCAGGTTTCAGGAATTCTGAGCTATTAGCTACCAGAGAATAGTGGGCCTCAAATCTGAACATAGAACTTTATCCAGTAACATAAAGGGAAGCAGGTGCGTATATGTGCAGAAGGAAAAGATGCCTTTCTCTTTCTCCATCCCCCTAAAACTCCCAGTCTGACCCAGTGGGTCAGAAAGCAATTCTCTTTTTTTTTCCTTTTCTCCATTTCACACCCATCAAACTTACACCTGGATATTTGAAGTCCTAATTGATTCACATGACCTTATTCAAGTGTAGCATCTAAACAGAGGGTCCCAACTGAGAGGAACATTTGTCACAGGGGAGAATTTGGTCATCAGCAAAATAGTTGCTAGAGCAGGCATTGGCCAGTCACAATATACGTGCTTTCCAGAAGGCAAATAGGTAAGGATGTTCCTTGTTGCCACATTTATTCACCTCCCAGTAACTCCCTACCAAATCCCATCTAATATTTGCCTGGCTGGGAGGGACTCCTGGTGGACTGAACTGTAGCCACTTACCCTTTATTTTTCTCCTAAGAATGTGACATGGACCGAAACATTGTTGTGAGGACAGAAGGAGCATGGGAAATAAAGCCAATGCTAGATGCTGATGTTTGGCTTCTCAGCATGACAGCTGGTAACATTAAAAGTCAAGCAGGGCAATGATAGATGCCATGGGATATATCCTGAGCACATTGACCACCTTAAACAATAGATAAAGGGCCCTCAGTTGGCAATTAATTTTCTCAATGGGCCACATGGGAAACTGGGACTGTTGTGGAGAGCTGAACCAAGAGGGGCGCCACTGCAGTCCAGACAGAGATAGCCAAAGGGCGAAATGTGGCCCGTAGGCTGTAATGGGTTGGATGTGGCCCGCAGGATGTAGAATGCTCAGGTCTGCTTTTGGGCATGAAAATGAAAAGCGCTCAATTAAAAATTTTGCTAGTGATGCTCAAGCTTTTTCAATATGCCTTACATATTTCTATGTATTGAAGTATTTTAAGAACATAGAAAACTGTGCATTCTCTAAATGATGGTTGTGCTCTTCCAAATTCGATAGCCAACCGGTTCCTCATATTCACTGTGAAAAGGAATGACATGTTACTGTCCTGCTATGCACTCCAGGTAACCAAGAACAGAATCCACTCCTTTCGAGCTTACGGGATTGAGATGCTTGATCAAACCAAGGCTTTAGTGCAAGATAACTTGATTTTCCAAGGGAAGAGCAAAAAGACTATTTTACAGCAAGTGTCCAGCATGGAGGATTGTGTCATTCAGAATAATAAGATCCTTGCTTTCAGAAAAAAGTAAGTAAATGAAAAGCTCTGTCAGTGGTAGTTCTACATTGGGGATCCATGGATTAACCTGTGATGACAATATCCAAGAACTGAGAGTTGCAGTTTGTTTCTTTATTGAATAGTATTTGCAACCCACCCCAATCCCAAAGGAGACTAGGTAGTACTCTGGTGTTCCTTGTTTACCAACCTCTCATTCAGCAACCATTTGCAATGACATTAAATGAGTAATACTTACAACTGGGCCTTGAAATTCCAGACATTGCACCACCCCTGCGATCACATGATTATCATTTGCACTCTTCCCTGAGAGCTTCTCATAAGCAAAGTCAATGGGAAAGCCAACAGGTAAGGTCGCAAGCCTTTCTCATAAGTCCCACCAGTCTGCCTGTGTTCTTGTGGCATCACTCCATTCATTCGCCAGTCTTCTTGCGTGGTGCTGCAGTATAACCTCACTGCCAGGTTCCCCATAGCCCAGGGGTAGGCAACCTTGGCTCTTTTATGACTCGTGGACTTCAACTCCCAGAATTCCTGAGCCAGCCATGCTGAGGGGAAAGGGAGACGTTTCCAAGCTGAGCCATGCTGGCTCAGGAATTCTGGGAGTTGAAGTCCACGAGTCATAAAAGAACCAAGATTGCCTACCCCTGCCCTAGCCTCCTCCGTTCCCCCTGCAGACTCCACCTTCCAGAGCTCCTATGCCAAATATTTCTTGGAACTCACTCATCTAGACTGGCTGATTGCCTTTTTAAGCCTCCCAGATCCAGGGCTAATGAACCAGGGTCACGTCGAGAACTTTTTTCATGGATGCTGAAGTTCAGCTTGCAGATATTGCAGGAGGTGATGTTCTTGGGAGTTCTCCTGGGGTGATAGTGAGAATCTCTCTGCACAGAAGACAAACGATATATCTCGAAGAGAAGTTGAATTCTTCTCTTTGGTGTGTTATTGTCGATGACGGTGTTGTTTTAACGGGTAAAATGCCTTCTCCTTCCCTGTCCTGCACTAAGGTGGTAGTCATGTGTTTTGTTAAGCATCTGTGTGTAGCTAGATCAAAGATAAACTTAGGAATTTCCCATTTATTTTTATTTATTTTTTTTACTTTCCAAAGCAGAAATTCTAAGAGAGCAGTTACAAATAGTTAGAACCATAAGCACTGTATCCTAAGATATTTGGCAGACATAGCCGCATCCAGCCGCCTGTTGCAATAGCAAGTGTCAAAAAAGATTGTAATTTCATCGCTAGCGCTAAGCACCAACTGAGAGCGGCTCTTGCCTCTTTTAGACAGGCAAGTTCAGACTTTGCAAAGCATCATTCTCGCCAAAGCAATATTTATTCAGCTGGGTGTGCGTTGTCACCTTGCCTAGCAACTTCCAAACTGACGCTGGCTGGTAATGAAAATCGTATTCCCCACTCACTGAGCTCAGAAAAATTTGAGCTACAGAAATGAATTGTTTCCTGACGTAGGTTTCCTTAAATGCAATCCAAGTATATTTCCTGTACCGCATCAGGAAGCACCAGTGACTGTGTTATTTCTGTTCTTCAGGTCTGATGTTGCCTGGACCTTAGAGAACCCTCCAGCTAGGCCTCACATAGAAGAATCGTCTCGAGGAGTGTCAACAGCTGGAAGCAGCCAGAAAGGATCAAACGTGACAGCCAGGATAGCTGCTAGAGTAGATGGGGGTTGTCATAAAAATGGTAGTATCTTTTGCACTATTCTGTGAAGGTTTACAGACTGGCCTCCATCTTCCTGATTATGTTCACTGCAACATTGAACAAACTCACATCCAAATGTTTTTCAGTTGACTAGCCTTGTGAGCACATACGAATTAATGGGAATGTGGCTGGACAAGGACCTGTAGCTAGCTACGACCTTGTCCAGCTGACTATGACCTATTGAGTGTTTTGAGAGCTTGCCTCAGCTTTCACATCTGCATCCTTGCACCAGGCATGGATCATTCCTTAGAAAGTGGTATTTTTGTAGCATCAAAAGCTTGCTGTTATGCCTGCTTATCCCTTTCCTTTGTCGACCTGATTATTCAGAATCATGTCTGACCAAGGGATGGAATTGGCCTAATAACTGTGATGTCACAAAGGCATTTAAGAGTCAGCCACCTGCACTTTTCCCTCCTACAGTTTTCCGAAAGGAATAGTTGCAAAGGAGGAGAAGGTTCTCTTCCGTGTGAAATGTTAAATTCCCAGATAATCTTTTTACCTTCCGTTCCTCTCTGAGTTTCAGTTAATACCTTTCACGAAAGCAATGTGGCTTAAAGTGGAGGTGATGTGCAGAGGCAAGCAATATTATCAGAAGGAATTTATCCCTTCTGACAAATACAACATCACTTGTTATTTAAATCAGAGGTCTCCAACCTTTTTGGTTTGGCAGCCCGGAAAGGGAGGCAGGCGTGCCCAAATGGGCCATGTGTGTGTATAAAAATGAGCCCTGAGCGCGCACACAAAGAGCCATGCATGAGCCATTGCACACACGCAAATGACTGCACGCAAGCGCATGCATAAGTGCAAACGGCTGCGCGGGCGCAAGTGCTGAAAATGGGACGGCACTAGTGCTGGCGGGATGCTATAGGCGGCACTAGTGCCAGTGGAATGCTCTGGGGCGGCGCGAGCACCAGCGGGATGCTCGGGGCAGTGCTAATGCTGGTAGGACGCTCGGGGCGGGGTGGCGCTAGTGCCAGCAGGATGCTCAGGGTGGCATTAGGGTCAGTGGGACGCTCTGGGCCGGGCAGCGCGAGTGCCAGCGGGATGCTCGGGGTGGTGCTAGTGCCGGTGGGATGCTTGGGGGCAGAGTGACGTTAGCCATCAGCGGGTTGCTCGGGGCGGCGCTAGCACTGGTGGGACTCTCGGGCAGAGCGGTGCTAACGCTAACGGGATGCTCAGGGCAGCGCTAGTGCTGGTGGGACGCTCGGGGCGGGGTGCTCGGGGCAGTGCTAGTGCGAGTGTAGGAGGGTGAGTGCACACGTGTGTGCACGTGCACTGGCCATCCCTTCATGCGGCCCGGTGGCCAAGCGGTCACGGCCCAGTAATGGGCCGTGGCCCACAGGTTGGGGACCCCTGATTTAAATAACGTGTAGGTAAGGAGTGGATGTAGATTCACTTAAGCTTACGTTCTTTTAGCGATTTGCCAAAAAGCCACTTGGTTTAATGTCATTGAAATCCTGAGTGCCTTGACCTATTTATTGGCCTGCTTGGCACCAGTTTCCTGACATAGCTTGAAATTAATTTCCTTTTATTCTAGAAACAAGAGTTGCTTTCTTCTATGTTGAAAAGAGCCGTTTTGGCTGTTGTTTATGATTGCTTACTCCCACCTGGTGCCTTCTAGAATCTAGATGTGCTGAACGTATCATCCAAAGCAGCATGTTTTTGCAATGATTGGTGTTGTCATCCAATACAAAGGGAGCATATATAATTTACCTAGTAGTAAATCCCATTGGAAATAGCAAAGCGGAGTTACCCATAGACATATAAACATTGCTTTAAGGTTCTGGAGTATTAGATCAGGAATATGGCAAAATATATGTAAAAGTACATAAAGCAGAGATAAGTTAGAACTCTTATCAAAATATAGTAGGGTAGTGGGGGGGGGTTTGGAAGAAAATAAGATCCCTCAAAACTGGGTGGTGGGGTTGCCTTTGCAAACAGCTAAATACAGGTGGTTCTTGACTTACAACCACTGAAAAACTTACAACAGCACTGAAATAAGTAATTTATGACCATTTTTCACACAACCATTGCAGCATCCCTAGTCACATGATCAAAATTCAGATGCTTGGCAACTGGCTTGTACTTATGACGGTTGCAGCATCTCAGGATCACCTTTTGCGACCTGATCAGAAAAGTCAACGGGGAAGACAGATTCGCTTATCAACTGGGTAACTAACTTAACTGCAGTGATTCACTTAACAACTGTGACAAAAAAGGTTGTAAAATGGGGCAAAACTCTCTTAACAACTCTCTTGCTTAGCAACAGAAATTTTGGGCTCAATTGTGGTCATACATTGAAGACGACCTGTGTGTAATTTAAAAAAAAAATTCCTGGGCAAGCTATTTCTTGGAACTCATTGGTCTAGAGCACGGGTAGGGAACCTTGGCTCTTTTATGACTTGTGGACTTCAATACTCAGAATTCCTGAACCAGCCATGCTGACTCAGGAATTCTGGAAGTTGAAGTCCACAAGTCATAAAAGAGCCAAGGTTGCCTATCCCTGGTCTAGAGTCTCTGAGTGATTGCCCTTTGTCAACCTAATATCTTAGAGGAAGTAAGATATGGTAACTCAGCAAGTTTATATCTTGGAGTTTATTTAATGAGATTCTTGAGGATAAGTAATGGAGGTATTTTAAAAGGACCAAAGTGAAGTACCTTGTCATTTTTCTTTACTTCCCAGAGCTTGTACATGTTTAACAGTTATGTGGCAAGCAATAATGCAGTAAGTAAAAATCTCAGGATCTCAAAGAAGAATCCATTTGGGTCTGCCATACAACTGTAACTAAAACAAGTGTTCGAAATGAAAAGAATGTGATTGCTGCTCTAGTAAAGTTATGGAGGTAGTATGTATTATTCAATGAACATGTTATTGCCACATCAACTCTGGCTCAGGGAGAAAGGACAGAACTATAGGACAGAAACTGGAAAAAGGAACTCTTGTTGACTTTATATTTCAGAGGAGATTGTGAGTGTCTGTTGATCTGAAGCCAAGTCTAATGTAGTGCACGCTGCCACTAAGCTGCATTTGTAGCATGGAAATAAATCTCACCAGCTCTCAGCTGATAAGCTGTAATTGATCCCTGGTAGAACGATGGTCAGGAGCACTTGATTAGGAGACAATAGCATTTTGTTTTATTCAGTTACATCTTATCTTCTGTTGTCAGAACATAAGATAGTGCTCTTGAGATAGCCAACAGGCCATAACAACACACATTTATAAATACTACTGAGTTTCTATGGGGCATAGAATTTTGCCTTGTATCACATATAGAAAATTCAGTCCTGTTCACTCCAGTCATAGCAGCTAGAGTAGGATCTTAGACTACTTTATCCTTTTTAAAGTTGAGGATGCCAGAGGCTGAACCGGGAATCAAGGAGACCTTATACTGCTTAGTTTCTCCTTTGTTATGTATGTTTACTCATTATTTGCTCATCATTTCCTAGAAAACAATAAAAACAGGAGGCTTTTAAAAAATAAGCAATGTTAATAAGAGAGAAAAGAGAATGTTATCTCACATGGACTTACGGTTCTGTTATCTTCATATGTATGGATCATTGTTTAAAAAAAACCTTTTTTTTAAAAGTTGTGATCTACAACTAGAATGGTTTTGTAGAAATTCTTTGCAGCTGGGACTGAAATCTACGCACACGTAGGAAAGTCCAACTGTAACTATTCCATTTTGGAATAAATATGCATTGGCTTAAGCTGCAAGTCAGCAAAATAAGCAAGCCTGAAGTATTTTTACAGGGCTGGATCCAGCTTTTCAGGCGCAGAAAGCATTTCCCTGAGTAGAAAGTGGAGAAAACTGCCAGTTAGGCCTTCTGTCTGAAGCTCCTCGTTTCCAGTTCTCTTAGCCTCCTTAAGGAAGGAGTAGAGAGAATCAACTAATGCCTACTGTTGCAAGATCAGAAACTTTTTACTTCATAGACGTGGCTTTTCTAACTACCACAGATTGTGAATTCAACATCAATATTCCCAGTACGATGTACTCCCTCGTGAGTTATAATTGCAGACAAGTCATTGGTGGTTCTCAGCCCACTGTAAACAATCAACTGAATGTCTTATGGAAAAAAAATAGATCTAACTTAATTGCCTTGGTTCTTTTGACTTTTAAGCTGCCATTTTATAGCACACACCTAGTAGTAAACTCTGCTACAGTCTCACTTCCCAGTAGACATGAGAGTGCACTGTCAGCAACACAGTGCATTTGAGCCATAGATCACTTCTTAAAGCATTTTAGCTGAACTGGAACTGACCACTAATATGTTTAAGCTTATAACTGGGAATGGATGATAATCTAGTATCTTGTTTAATATATATCTTGTTAAAAGAAATGCAAACTAGTCTTTGAAAAGTTTTATAAAGGAAAAACTGTGTACTACAAAATAAAAAAATATATATTTTAAATCCAGAGATTTTGCCTATTTATTTTTTTCCTGATACAGTATGGAAGGTGACAAGAGGCAAAGAATAACAGGGTTCCTGTCTCTTCAATTAACTGCATAATGTAGAGAAATTCCTTAAGCGTTCTGCAAGTTATTTGTGTGAGAGAGAGGTGGGAGTCAGGGAAGAAGTCAGATATTGCACATGCCCCCAAAATTCAGTTTATATTAACTTGCCTTTATTAGTACTATTTATAAGCCTAGCCCACCATAGAAAGTTTTAGCTGTGCAAAGGTTAGTAATAGACCAACGTCAGCCAAATGTAATGTGCTGTTTGTCTGTTTATAAAACATGGTTCATCTAGTAGGAATTTGAGAACAGACTCTGGGCATTAGGGAGAAGCAATATAAGGTACAGTGTAGGAAGGACCAAGAGAGAGAAGATAGATCTCCAGTTCTTAAGAAGCAAACTGTCTTAATAAATAAGTCTGGATTGCTGTATCAACATTTATTCAGTTGTGTTGGCTAGACATTATGACAGTTGAGGCCCAATATGTTTATAGGTGACCAGATTGGAGAAGATTGGTATATCATCTTTCTTCTTTATAGCAATTGTCTGTTTT